CGCTGTTTACGGAGCAGCACGCACTAGGGAAGAACCCTGAGAACCTCATTTATTGCAGCAATCTGTTGGTGCGTTGACTGGCTGACGTGTTGCGGGGAAATCAAATAGCAAGGCGACTCATGTTTCTCGTTTGTTTCGAATTAATCCGAGTCAGCTGAATGTGTTAGACAGTCGGTCCACTGCATTGGAACGAGAGAAGTGGGGCTCAAGTGCGAAGTGCTGCAGCGTTGAAGCAGAAAGAAGACGAGGAGAAGAGACGTGGCAAAGGTGAGTCGGGCTACCAACTTTGTATTTATGCGATGCAAACTGAGTACGTGACAATTCCTAGCTTCGGCGACAGACTGGCGGAAGCATCGCAACTACCTGCTACGAAGACCGAGACATTCGAAGCTGCTGTAGTAGCTCCAGAGAAGGCAACAAATTGTTCCTGTTAGTAATTCGAGATCCGTGAGCAAGCCGCCACGAAAGCGGAGTCGAAGGAAACCCACGACACCAACGGCATCGGTACCGCTCGCCATATCAGGTCCTCCGGATGCATCAAAGGTGGCAACGTACGTGGAAAAAGCGAGCTTTTGTCTGCAAATTCGACGGAAAGAAGGGGGGGACGCGAATGCTATTGGCGTGGCCACTACGGAGAAAACGACAGCATCCAGTAGCCGTGTCAAAGCTAAAGCAGTTGATGCAGCGCCGGCGACCACCGATGCTGGGGTCCTGAAAACAAAGTTAGCCAAGGCCAAGCGAAAGCGGGTCAGGTCAAAACAAACGGTTGCTCGTGGCCACACCCAAAGAAGTCGGGGCGCAACCTGAAGGTGGGAAAGATCGATTGGAAGCAGACGTAGACCGTGGCAACGAAAGCTCCTCGTCGTCGACTTCGACGTCGTCGTCTACCTCTTCATCGTCATCTTCCGCGTTGTCTTCATCTTCGTCCGCGGCGTCGTCTCCTTTGAATGTAAGCAGCTCGTCCTGATGATGACACAGGAGGCGTGTAGGGACCCTCGAGGAGAGCACTATGTTGGGGTCATTTAACTTGGTTTAAGTGTTGACTTGGTTCACCTGCTACCATCAAGCTCTTCGTTCTCTTTTCTCCAGAGAGAGGTGCATCGAAGGCAATTAGTTCTACCCCGAACTCCTTCTTACTTCGTGCCGCCGTCTACCTATGTATTGACCGTTGCACCCTCGCTCCTTGGGTCGCAATCAGTTCACAGCCTCGAAAGTACTGCGGGCGCACGCTCCAGAGCAACTGCATATCTGTGCACCATGGCCCAATGACCTCCACCCCTTCCTGCCAGTCTGCTGCCATCGAGTTCGATCACCATCTACTGCTGTCCCGTTATGTTACATCAGTACATCCTTCCACTTGCGCTGTTTGCTTCTCTGCCCAAATCCTCGCCGATGTCTTCCCAAATCAAACAATTGATCCAGCACATCAGTTTCCGGTGGAAACAAAGCAAAGCGCAGCAACTCCAAGAACGAAAAGGGAAAATCTGGATCGATCGACGGACTAATGTCATAGTCTTTGCGGCGCATAATAGTTCCAGGAAACACACACACCTTCGTGTAGTTCTGCACTTCCGGCACTAACGTGATAAGACCTCCATCCACTTGGTACTCGCCTCGGAACAGCGTAGTGCCTCGTCGGGCCCACGTACCAAGGCAAGTAGCATGACGCTATGAGCGCATCACAAAGATCATCCGTCGAGCGGAAGTCATCGGTCAGCACCGAGGCTCGGACTGGCCACATTTTCTTTGTAGCGATCGTCAGGCGACTGTGCGTCAACGACTCCACCGGTAAATCACCAAATTTGGCGTGAAAGACGGTGCGAAGTCGGTCCTCAAGTTTCCAGAAAGTGCCGTGGCTACGACAGAGTCGGGCCATGGCTTTTGTCTCTTCGTGGATGTCGTCCATACTGACGTTGGCAGCCAACGCCAAAGCAGCAATTGCACCCCCAGAAGCTCCAGCAAACCTCGAGCGGGACTGGATATAGCCGGCATCCTGCAGTTCCTGTGCTACGCCCAAGTGGTACGGAATCAGGAACCCACAGCCACTGAAGCTGAAGTTGTGAGCGGTGGGAGACGCAGCAGTGGAAACTCTGCGACCGAGACAGCGGCGGCGCATTCTTGTAAACCGAGCAACGGCTTGGTGGTCCATCGTTGCTGTGGCTTTTGTAGGAATGAATGAATAATGCCATTGAGGAAATGCTGTGGGACTTCTCTAAAATAAATATGGCTATCTTCTGATTGGCCGGAATATGGACGTGTTTGAATCCAAGCATATTTATTACCATGGCACATGCTAAAACGCTGGGTTCCTTATTTTATTCGAATGGCGTCATACTTTTAGGTATAGCGTTCCAAACATCATCATTTAAGACACACAAAGTCTATCGTGGAATAAAAAGCTAGTATTTTAAAAGTGACTTTTGGCGACCCCCTGATCAAGTGGGTTCTCGCCATAGCTCCACATTCCGTATATTCCTCCGAATTGACTGCTGATGTCATCGCAAAGATTGATTGCACGCGACTCGTTTTCCTTTATCGATGGCGTCACCGTATATTTTAGAATCCGTAAGCCAGATTCCGTCGTTTCTAAATGACTCAATTACTACTTCTTGAAGCCTACGACACGCTAGACAAGCTAACCAGGCGGATAGCAGATACGCGCAGATAAAACCTATGTTTTGCCAAGCGAGCGTGCCAACAAGGTGAGATCAAAACAGATGAGACAACCAAAACAGGGCTGTACACTGCTCTCGAGGTGATACGTGCTACCTGCCGTTTAAGTCAAAACATCAGTACGGCGAAGCAAGCATATAAAGACTGGCTGCAGCACCAGCTGCCTCTTCAGAAGCTGTTCAATATGGCGTAAAGGAATCTGTTAAAGTAATATTTTATTAAGGCATGTAAATGCACAAACCTTCCAAGTGCGTCTTCGACTCATATGGACGCGTGTAAAATGATTACCCATTGAGCATCTTCTGTAGAAGCGTAGATAGTGAAGTAAAGTAATGCTTGAAATCGTAAGCCGATAGCATAGCAAGGGGTGCAATGAAAACGTAGATGTATCGAAGTCACCCACAAGTGTTTCCTCAAACAAGTGTCGAGATACTCACATCTAATGTTTAGTCGTTTAAAAATGAGATCAGATGTTATTTTTACAAGTGGCGGCATAATTAATCTGGGCATCAGACGACTCTAAATTCTATCGATTTGGATGAAGAATTGTGGTGGGTGGGTGGCATAAAATTAGTGGGTGGTCAACGGCTCTCTTTATTTATTATTTATTTATTTGGTGATACTGTTTGAATTTTACTCTAGTTTGAATTTTTATAACCCTTTTTAGTAAAGTAGAATTGTCCTTTTGAACACCACCTGGTGGTATGTTAAAGCGCCCTTCTTCATTAAAGCTGATTTTAGATCCGATGAAGATCAAGTTTGCGGTTTTAGGGGACGCATTTGTAGATGTGGTAGCGGGTACACTAGCGCCCGACCAACTGCCTCAGTGGGGCAGTGACGTTGAGTGCTCTCGGCCCATTCAACTACACGCAGGAGGTTCGGCGCTCAATGCAGCCACGTACTTGGCCGACCTCAGCAGGTGTAACCCTAACCACGAGCTGCACGTGGCACTGCACACGGCGGTAGGTACGTTATAATAGCGTGTTTTAATAGCGTGAGTAGGGTTTGCAACGTGTGGTGTGACCTGAATTGTGTGTGCACACACATTTTGTGGTAAAATTGGGTTTTGTGCAGGTGAAGACCCGTTTGCAGACATGCTAAAATCGCACTTAGCAGAGCACAAGGTGGTGCTGAGCTCTCCTGCACTGGAGAATGTCCCCACGGGCGTGTGTATTGTTCTCAGCGGAGCGGTTCGTGGTGATTGATGTGGCAAGATGGGAAGGTGATTCGTGCTGATTGCTGACTGATCATCTGCAGGACGATCGTAGTTTCATTACGCACTACGGAGCTGCCCGTATCTTCAGTATTGAGGTGAGTGCTGAACTATAACTTCATTTTTGCTACTACATGAGCTAGAGAGTGATGATCTGTTATGCATGTAGCATATTGATGAGACAATGGTGCTGTCAGCGGACCATCTGCACATCGGGGGTATTTACGAACAGCTGGTGCTCCAAAAGTAACAGCTACTAATCTAGATACTTGTTGATGGTTGTAGGATTTTACAGCTGTGTCAGTCTTCGAGCAAATCTAAAGCCTTTGCTAGTCAAGGCAAAAGAAAAGGGCATTACCACATCGCTGGACACAAACTATGACTCATTGAAGAAGTGGGATGATCTCGAGGAGCTGTATCCACTGATTGACGTGCTCTTGCCAAACGAAGTGGAGGCTATGAAGATCTCGCACACTGAGTCAGTGGAAGCGGCAATGGCTTACTTTGCAGATCGGATAGAAGGAGTGACGGTCATCAAAACTGGTGCAAGCGGTGCCATTGCGCACTGCTCGAAAGCTCAGCGGCAATGGACGCAGCAAAGCTTCCCCGTGAATGTCGTGGATGTTACAGGTGCAGGAGATTCATTCAACTCTGGATTTCTGTCAGCGTGGAAGACAAATGGTGGAGATGTGGGCGATGCACTGCGGTGGGGTTGTGGGACAGCATCGCGAACAGTGGCCGCCGTTGGTGCATGCAAGCTCTCACTTGATTACAGTGACGTGCTGAACGTGGTCTCAGCTGATTGAAGAGACAACAATGCGGCTGGTGACAGTGCGATAAAGTATGTGGTAACCGATGAGCAAAAGCTTTCCTTCACAATAAAGATATGCGTGTGTGCGCATTTTCGTCTCCAGAATTTTGTCGTACAATAGCCGAATGCAGCTCAAACTTGGGTCGACAACATAATGTGATGATATACCAGAGTATTGCGACTGCTGACGCCTGATGGAAAAAGCTTGCGCTGGCACATGGCAGGTGGCTGCCACTGACTGATGTGTGACATCGGTCGATAGAACAGCTACTCCGCCTGAAACCTTGATCGAAACACATGATGGGTTTCTGCTATTGCTTGGGATCAGCAATCGCATGATGGGACTCGATGTCACGTCACATTGCCGCTCCACACTTGTGCTGCCGCTCGCACGTTGCTGTAGTTATCACGTCAAAACATTGTCACGCACGAAGCCAATGTAAGCCAATATCTTTGCTGGGTTCGCTAGGAAACTGGTCGCATTACGCTTTCTCGCTTTGTACATCAGCAGTGCTTTACGAGTCAACTAATCTAGAGCATGTCTTACGTGTATTGTGGGTAGTTGTTGTTCATCTCGCCGCCAACACGCTTTCCTGTCGAAAGGTTGTTTATCATCAAGCCGAACGGAACCGTCTACGATTTGAAATGGCTTCGTGGAATCTATGCTATCATTCGAGTTGACCAGTGTTTCCCGCACGATCCGCTGCAGCTTTTACTGTGGCTTCCTTGGATGTGCGTTACAAACGGCTCCGAAGAATTATGCTGACTGCCGCGTATCCAATCTGCTCGTATTCAATCGTCTTCGGTTCAGGCCGCATAGATATCTTCCGTCTGGGCTGCTAACAACGAATCGGGCGCATGATGCTGAAGTGCTTTACATCCGCGAAGGATGCACGTGTTTGATCTGCTGTCATGTTGTCCGCCACAATCGTTATTCACAAGCATATACAGGACATTCATTTCTATTTTATCCAAACCTGCTTGCTGACTTTTCTGCCTAAACTGCTCGCTTCCCCTTAGTCCCTCGCTCAGATGCGGTGATCAATCACTGCGAAGCAGCTGCCATTTGTGCAAACGTCTACCGACCACAGCGCGACGGATGCAATGCGCCACGACCGTGGGTACCACCAGGCTTACTTCTTGGCCTTCTTCAACTTGCTCTTCTCCCCTTCCATCTACGGCACAAAACACCGATAGCAGCACTTAGAACAAAGCAGACGCAGAGACAAACAGTCCTTACTTACCACTTTCTTGACCCGCGAGAGCACTTGAGCGTTCGCACTGACGCAATTCTGCACTTGGTACGGTGGTGTAATCCTGACCTCACCCATGACTCGAATGTTGGCACCCTCCCACTCACACGGCATCCTTCATGAACATCACACCACACGAGGTCAGCCTATCTTGTCGAACAAACCGAAGCAATGCTGCGACTACCGTCGTACGTCTTGTTCAGAGCATCGAAGATCAGTTGAGCTTCACTAGACACGCCCTGACCAATAGAAGCCAACGCTCGCTCTGCTACCCCCTTGTTTCGATGCTCTGCACGCTTCAGTTCTGCTTCGCTGATTCGAGGCAGGGTCAGCCGCAAGCCGGCCGGAGCAGGACTCAATATCTCGACCTTTGCAGTATCTCGAGTTGCAAGATCCGTGTTTTGCTCTTGGCGCCATTTTTCTCTTCTATTTTCAGAAATTTGATCAAAAACATATGAGTTTCAAGAAAAAAGCGCTGCTCCTTAGGAAATTTACCGGAAAACGCACCGAGCACGAGGAAGTGCGCGAGAGGGTCCAGCGCGAAGATAGAGCCTTCAAAGACCTCTTGGAATCTGGTGACCACACGCACCCTGGCACCCACGGCCTTGTGGTCGTGCAGCAACTCCATTGGCAGCACAGGCGCCGGCTCAGTGCTGTTCCTGGCCATCCTAAATGTCCGACGGTTTATCCGGATCGCATGTTGATTGGCTGGTCATTTTATCTGAATCAAAGAGCCTGGTCCGTAATATGATTGGTAGAAACCAAATATGTCATCGTTTTTTATCGAATCACGTTAGAGACCTACTGAGAGGAGCAGCAAAAAGCGAAAAGCGTCAAAAGCATGAGCGGCGGTCACTACGAAGGTGCGTGGCGGCATTCGACCGCTAAGCAGCGTATCCAACGACACGATATCTCTGTGCAATCGCTTTGTTGTGTTCATGTGCTCATTAACGTCTCTGTGTGTGCTCGTGTCATTGGCACCCGATGGCTTTGTGCTGGGTCAACACACTTTGTCTACCAAATCTGTAGCTCCTCGCATTCCCACGCGTCAAGAGATGGCTGACGCGAAGGTGCCGCTGCACTATCGCGATACGTGTGCAGGCTTGCTGATACCTCTGAATGAGTGCCGACGGGGAGACGTTCTTTCTCCCGTGGAAGTGCCAAGACCTGCGCCATGCCTACGAGAAGTGCCAGTACGAGGAGTGGAAGACTCGCGTGGAACTTCTCAAGAACCAGCACTAGATCTTGTTTGGTTTTTGGGAGAAGAGCGGACCACGGGCGTTGTGGATAGGTGGGTGAATGCAGGTGCTGCGAGAAGGTTTGCACCGAAAACCGCCAGTGAATAATGAATGCAGGCGTCGGTGCGAAGTCCCTGTTGCTTTGTGTAAGTTGATTGCTGAACGAACAGGATGACACGTAAAGCTCGAATGTCGATAGGCAGCAGAGACATTGCCAGCTGTAATGGCCTGGATGTCTAGACTCTCTCGATGTGGTGACATGCTATCAAGCAAGCCACAGAGCACACGAGGGGTGAGCCATTTATATCGACACTGGAGCGTTGTCACCACCCTCATCATCCTCTTGGTCTGCTGCTGGCCGCGACGCGAACTCTTCGTCGCTGCTACTGTCTGTCTCATCGTCGTACATTCGTTCGCCGCGTTCATAGCGTTCCTGTTGCAAGCGTCGAACTTCCATGAGGCTGGGCTGGTCACCTCCGAATGGATCTCCGAGCTGTCTCATGATCCTGCGTCCCATCAACATCATGGAGATGAGAAGAAGGACCCCAGTGATGAAGAGTCCTGACGGATTTTCCGCCTCGTCTTCCAGCATACGCTGGAGACGCACTTGCCACGGTTGTGTCGGTTCAGTCGGTTCGGGTTCACCCAATTGCTCAGGAACAGATCCGTCAAAACAGTCGGTACCGTCAATGTCGACGTCGCTGCCCACGTGGAAACCCATATGAACACAGAATTCAGCACCAGAGCCAGCGATCTCTTTAAGTGGTGAGCACACCAGTGCGTTGCCATAACATGGAGATAAAACACCAGCTCCACCGTATGCGTAGTACTCGTCCTTGCAGGCATTGAACCACCTGTCACACAACCTCGGGCACACGTTTTTCATCTCCCCTGTACCCATAAGCGGATGGCACGACGCACAAGTCATTTCCTCCGTCAGGGCTTGACACATGGAGCTGAACTTAGCCACTACTGGCTCCCGGATCTTCCTGTTCGTCATTTAGCAACACACAACAAAGAGCTTGAGGTGCTGTCGCAATACCAAAAAGTATCCACGTCTCACTTCACGTACAGTCGAAGAGAATGCGCATGCGTGGCATTGCAGCACGTGCTTGTGCGGTACTTGCTGCATACTTCCATGCCATTGGTCTGGTTGACCGTGACACATGCATGGAACACAATGCAATACGATAGTTAGCCCACTCAGCGCAGCGCTTGAAAAGACATGAGCAGTGCATTCTGGCGACGTACGCGTTGCGAGGGATGCGACTGTGGGTCAAACTTGAGCATGCCAGATGAGAGACAGGTGCTGCCAGGTTTTGACTTGGGCCTGGCCTGCACGGGGCTCCCTATCGACAGCAACACAACCACCAGCGCCGTGCACACGCGCGTCGCTTTCATCATCTTTTGTTTGCCACGCGATCGAAAGTAGCAGCATGAAGTAGTCAGAGTGATGATAATCACACAAGTGCTGGAAGTCCCCAAAACGAATATTCAAATTTCACTATTTCAGCAAAAGTCACGCTACAAACACCATTGGCCAATCACAGTCCATGTTGATCCCAGTTGTTAATCCAGCGTCCTAGCGAATCCTGCGACAATTAATACCAAACACCAAACCTACGTCTTCGAAACCTCGCGCCAACATGGCCGAGAGCTCTGGTCCGGCGCTGTCCGCCCTGTGCGGCATGTTCCCGTCCTGGGACGTCGAAGTGCTCGAGGAATTGCTAGAGACGCATCAGGGGAATATCGAGCGCACTGTGGACACTCTGCTGACCATGGACGCAATGCCCGGTACAGAAGGGACACAACCCCCTCAGCCTCCACCAGTTCACGACCAGATATCAGTGTTTCAATCGCATCGAGAGCGCCATCCGCTGCCGTCTCCACCATCTCCTATCGCAAATGAACATCGTGGTCGGGTCCAGTTACCTGTAGATTTCTTACAGCTGCCATCGGACGACGACCGCGTCTTGTCCGAGCAGGAGGAGCGCGATGCCGATCTAGCACGTATGCTGCAGGACCAGCTCTTCCGTAGCGAGGTTTTATCCAGTAACGAGTTCTCAACGCACTTCCAGGATGGCAGAGTGATGGGGTCGTCGCGCTCGTATCCACTTGACAAATCACCGGTGGAGATCGCCAGTCAGACGTACACGGCCATGAGAGGGAAAATCACGTCCTTGAGCGAAGGTGAGCAATAGACTCGTCTCCGATGTAAAACTGTTGAAACGCTGGGCTCACTTGTTGTTACTGCACCGATGTATAGCCATGAAGGAAAAGATGTACGATATGTACACGCGCTTCCAGATACGCAACGGCACCGCTTCCAGCAGCGACCCCAAGAGGTGAGAGACGAAACGTCGTCTCGCTGTTGCGACGGAAAGTAGCTCACTTTTTCATCTCCTGTTGCTGTGTGTAGCACATACCCACTGATGGCAAGCGACTCAGAATCAAGCGAGAACGACGACCTGGACACAGATTTGGCTGTACGAGACCACAGCACGCGCTCCCGTCACAGCCAAGAATCTCCGAGGCGGCGGAGTTCCCGCGACACGACAGACAAGTTCAGCGCTGACACTGGTTCACACTGTAAGAAAGACGACTAGTCGTCTACGATTGCTGGCAACGTGTTTGCATCGTAGTGCCTTTTCGTCCTCATGACACCTGTTCTATCCAGCAAGCCAGAGCTCATTCCCGGCATTCCAGCGCGAATTAAAAGGAGCCAAAGTCAATCTCATCTGACCGCATCCATGGCATCTTGTTCGTTTCTGCCTTGTCACCATCAGCAGCAGACTCAGCGTTGTCATCGTTGTCGCTGTCCTCAAAATCGTCGAGCATTTCTTGCTCAGCTGAAACCTTTTCATCCTCTTGCTGCTTCAGCTTCTTCTGTGCTGGCTCTACTGCGACAACAGCGTCACTACCGCATAGTACCTGCCGCATGTCGACAGCTGTCTCTCCCGTGAAGTATCCCTGCAAGAAACAACAAAGCATCATCCTCTCAGCCCTTCATCACCAAAGTCAACAGCAACTGATCTAGCATTTTTTTCCGCTCGAATCCACTCACCTGCTGCTGCCAAGCCACAAAGTTTGAGGTAGGAAAAGGTCCGTGGATTTGTCCGTCATTAGCTTTGTACTCCCACATGACCTCTTGCTTTGACACAAGACGAGGCTCGCTCTTCTCTTCACTCGTGTCAGTATCAACAAACTGCACCTGTCTTCGTTGTGCCAGTAACTCCTCATCCGATACAAACTCCTCCTTGATCTGACTGTATACGTCCACCTCCCCTGACCGCAACAGAAAGTCAGCTGCCTCAGTAATCTGATTAAACTGCTCCTTCTCTTCTGCCGTCTGAGTCTCTGCCGTCTGAGTCTCTGCCGGAGTCTCTGTCGGAGTCTCCATCTCTTTTCGCTGCTTGCGCTTGCATCCAACACGGGCACGCGCCTTCTTCTTCTTCTTGGTACCAAGACGGCTTAAGCGCCTGTAACACCGTCTCCCGGGGCTTTAACAACGTCGCGAGCTTCTGTTCAGCCGCCTCAATCGTTAGCGTCTCCTCCGTCTGCTCGTCGCGAAACTCGCGGCGGCTTTTGGCGTGCTTGGCAGCACCCATTTGCTGCTCCGACACATCTTCAAGCCAAGCCTCTTCCTGTTTCCGGGCCTCGTCGTCCCATACAAAGTTCCCATTGGCATCAAAATGACCCTCTTCTTTCTCTTCCTCCAGGTCAAAGGCCGTGACCGCCATGGGGAATAATTCAATTAGAGTACTGTAACAAGGTATACACACCACTCCGATGCGATAGAGGAGATCGAGGTGGACCACATCTTTTCAGGCCAAGGCAGTGGTTCGCAGAGCTCAAACGACGCGAGACCATGGTAAGCTCCAAGATGTCGACGAGCATGGCGGCAGGACTGTGGCTTGGACTGACGACGCGTACCAATGCTTGTGGTTGCAATAGGGGAAAACGAAAAAGACACGCAAGTTCGCAGCGGTGAAGCGCATGATTAGTCCTCGCGACACGCGCATGTACGACGTTTTCTGGTGGTTGGGAGTACGCGCTTGAGTCGTGACTGTTATTTGGTATCCACTTGCAGTAATTCAGTGCGAAAAGCGGTTGAACAAGCGGAAGAAAAGAAGCGCAAGGCAGCAGAGCCGAAGCAGATGTAAGTAGTGCCAAGTGACATGGAGAGAAAGACTGGATAGTAACTGCTGCTATTGTATCGTGCCGGGCTTCTCGTAGTGACCAGGTCCCGTCCAATATGTTTTTTAAGTATAATTCAGCTCTCGGTCCGCCGTACAGTGTTATTGTGGATACAAATTTCATCAATTTCTCCATCAAGAACAAACTTGAGGTCGTCTCGGCCATGATGGACTGTCTGCTTGCCAAGTGTTAGTGTGCTTTTCGGCATGACGGGGATGCATCTCCAGCTGTTCTTTGTAGACTGATTTTCTCATTGGCAACCGCTTTGGTACACGTGCAGGCGTTCCGTGCATCACGGACTGCGTGATGGCAGAGTTAGAAAAGCTAGGTCACAAGTACCGTGTGGCACTGCGATTAGCAAAGGATCCACGTTTTGAACGGTTGCCGTGCACACACAAGGGCACATATGCCGATGACTGTCTGCTACAGCGTGTGCAACAGCATCGCTGCTACATCATTGCGACGTGTGACCGTGAGCTCAAACGACGTATCCGTAAGGTTCCCGGTGTGCCTATCATGTATATTTCGAACCGCAAATATGTGATCGAGCGACTTCCGGAGGCCAACGCCGCTAAAATCAAGTAGCGCGCATGCTTTGTCAACATCGTGAACAAGCTAAAAGTAATCAGTAGGAACGCCACTTTATCAGCAGGTACTGTCGGAATTTGCTCACTCGCTATGCAACGTATATGTTGGTATTATTCCAGTTAAAAAGCAGCAGCGTTGCCTGTCTGGTCTGTGCAGTAATTGGAAACTCCACAATCATCTCAACACGGTTTGGTGCTGTGGCACCTTGTAGCATGACATGTAATCTGAGGGCTGCAGCGGCGGTAGAGCCACGACATTCATGCACTATCTGGTAATCGAATCCTCATCGAGACTGACTGCAATCTCGCTTTGTTTTGGAGCTGGCAGCCCACAACATCTATGTCTAGTGTAGTAAAGCGATGGCTTACTGAGCCAATGTGAACGACAACTTAAAACGCTGTTTTCCTGCGAGGTGCTGACTACTGTAATCAGCTTCATTCATATCCAGCGATCAGCTTTAGCAACTGCCATTACAGAACGGATTACAACGAAGGGCAGGGGTAGCGCCTGTAACGATGCCAAGTTGACTCCGACGTAGATGTATTCCGTCCTCATCGCATTGTCACGACTGTGACAAAAGTTTCCATGAGCTTTTAAATAATCAAGGACAATTGCGATACCAGTTTAGCCAATCTTTGCCATCCGAGTCGACAGCAACCGCGATACTGCCATGACATGGGTTGTCTATCGATATGACCTGCGAGACCATCCTTGGATTGCGCCAGACGAAAGAAGATTGCGCCAGACGAAAGAAGATTGCGCCAGACTGGATATGATGACACCAGACTAGCCTACCAAGTTTAACACTCCTCCTCAATATATTCATTCTCCATTTCACTACATTAGACTCGAGCCCCTCTGCAAGCCACGGGCCGGGTTTGTCATTTTGATATATCAAATTTGGCTAACTTAGTCACATCTCATCCCGTACGAGAATCCCGTCGCCATCATCATGGGACGGAATGAGGATGAATACGTCACTTACACCATCGTGACGTGCCAAGAAAGTGCGACTTCACCAGCTGACGTCGCCACAATGAAGATAAAGCGCTTTCGCGGTGGTTCATCGAAGGACTGGCTCACATGGAGCATGCAGTTTCGAAGCCTCGCGAAACGAAAAGGCTGGAGAGCTGATCAACTATGTAACGGGGCACCCTGAAGCTTGTACTGGTGACAGTACAAGCTACTTATTCTGATGACAGAATAAGGCGGTGCCTCGTAACTTCACGTACACTCGTACGTGCAGAGGAAGACGGTAAGAAGAAGCGAGTACTCGGTTAGAGTAAAAAGTAGAACTGTATTTATAATAGTTAATGTCTGCAATAAATCACTATTTATCTTCATCTAACTATGTCTAAATACAAATGTGTAAATCAGTTATCTGCTCACCACTCATTGCGTGCGTCTGTCGTGGCGCGTCTTCGTTGGTTGATATAATGGCCTATATCAACCAATTAGGAACTACTTGGAAGTGCTACAGAATATTGTCCTTATGACAATATTCTGAGAATATAACTCTTATAGTTATATTCTATTAACAATTTCTTATAAATTGTTATGTAACGATTCACCCCGTTACATCACCCCCTTAACCATCAGTCACTTTAGTGACTGATTGACTAAATGGATACTCGTCCCAAATCATTTGGGACGGGGTTTGCCCCTGTTGGTCCGCGTCCACTTTCCAACATCTCATCGCATGGTAAACAAGCCCATGCGATGCGCGAGCAAGGCCGCCGAGAGCGCGTCTGCACGTCTCTGTGCGGACGCCGAAGCAGAAAACTACAGCAACTGATATCCCATCGGTTGCTGAATCGACTCAGCCTGTATCACCTGGTGATGCAGGCGCTGGTCATGAAGACACTCGTGTCTTCACAGAGTACGAGCTCGGTGTCTCGTACTCTCCTGATACGGATGACGGATCCGTATCGACGGCAATTGAATCCAAGCCGCCTGCCAAGCGTGGCATGGACGATGCTTTGCGTCGCAGCATCTTTGGTTCATCTGATGAGTCAGATGAACCATCGCCGAAGCGAAGGCGCTCGAGGTCGCGAGACTCGGGCGCTAATAGTGGTGTCGTTTCTCCAATGGACACCACTTCACAGCGAGGTGCCAGTACTTCTGTCGGCACGTCGCAGGAAGAGCGGGACCGCAATGTGTTGCGTCTCGCTCCAGAAAAGAAGGCATGGATGCCTCCTAAATCCGTCATGGATCACTTGTCGGCGACGACGAGTGATCGTTATCGAACACGATTGTTCGATTCGTCAGGGATCCATCACCTTGACCCCAGCGCGAAAGACTATCGCGCTGAACATGGAGTTCTTCATCGATGCTTTCTTCAGACATCGATGGTACAGTGGGAATCACAAACGTGATGTTCCCTCACTACTTCAGGCGTGGAACGCCTACATCCATAATCTCGAGGATGTAGGTCGTGACGCTTGGAACGACAAACTTATCAAAGCTCGTGATAAGTTTGAAAAGCGAACCCCGACAGGTGCACGCTATAAGCTGCATCGTCTGTCAAGGGAGAAAGGATTACCCTGCCTCTCTTGGGGAGACTCGTGCCCATGTTGTGTGAACAACTCTGCACGAGCACCTAAGGAGGCTTACCTCCTTGCCAGCCCGTGGTGGCGCGTACGTGTCTCTACTGAGATGTACGAAGGGATTGACAACCTGAAATCCCTTTACGACCGTGCCGGGAAGACTTTCTCCGGCGGTCCTTCTGCGGCACAGGATGTGTCGCGTCGTACTGCTCGACCAGACCCAGTACGTCAACCATCAATTGGGAGCGGGGCTCCCAAGAATCCCAGGACGGGGGATAGCCGCGCCACCGGACGAGGTAACTCGTCCGACGTCCGTTCACGTCGCGGTGGTTCAACAGCTGCTCAACTAGATAGCGCTGGCCACCGCGAGAGTCCTCTAATGGAGGTGGAGGAGGAGGAAAGACGCTCTCCACACGATCATGTGGATCGGTGTGTTCCCGAGAGCTTCTTTGATCGCGTAACGCAAGGGTTACGCGACGATCTCGAGCATGAGCGGAATAGGCGTCTCCAGATGGTGGACACTGCCTCGAAGCATCGAGCTGAGTTTGCCTTTGCTCAGCTTGAGAACGAGAGATCTCTGACATCTCTTCGTGACGAGCTAAGGGTAGCTCGTGGGATTGTTGATCGGTCTCGGGCTGAGATAACTGCTCTTCAGACCCTTGTTGATGCCCACCATCGGGAGCACAAGGCTCTCTGCGAGATGCTTGAGCGCAAGGGCGTTCTTCATCGGAAGAAGCAGCGTACTGATGGTACGGCTTAAGCCGACCAACGTAAAACGTGGGATGCGTTCGCATCTTACGTGGTAACTCGATCGTGTATGCATTGCCTAGGCGGTGCAATACACGAAATGGGCCAATGTACTTGGGTAGTAGTTTACTGCTACCCAAGTTAGTCACTACATGTTTTGGTAGATTAACCGTAGACAGTAGGACTAAGTCACCTTTATTAAATAAAAGAGTGTTTGCCCTTCCATTCTTGTCAGCGTTTTGCTTTTGCTTATCCACCGCTTCGGCGATGGAGTCTTGCACAAAACGGACTACCGTTTCACGAGCCAGTATGAACTCATCTGATGACTCGTTAGCTTCAGTGTGCTGTGAGCGCACTGCAGCGACAACAACCTTTTTCTTCAGTGAGGGCTTCCGCACTCTCACTGGGATCATTGTCTTCAGTGAGGGCTTCCGCACTCTCACTGGCATCATCTTCTTCGATATCGATGTTATCGATATCGGCATCAAACGCAATGACTTCTTCGTCAGAGCGTGATGAGCGTGAACCAAATCGGTTTTTGCTCGCGCGAGTCCCTCCCCCCTTAAACCAGAGTTACACTCTAGTAAGGTGGGTACACGCGGATGGCGCAAGCCATTCACGTAAAACGGTGTATGTGTCGTGGACGCATGCACCGAGTTGTTGATGGCAAACTCTACCATCGGCAAAAACTCACTCCAACTCTTAAAGGAGTGTACGTATCCTCGAAGTATCTCTTCAAGGACACGATTGGCACGTTCCGTCTGACCATCTGACTCTGGATGATCAGATGTTGACATCTTCAAGCGCGTTCCGAGTGATTTGAACACGGAACGCCAGAAATCAGCAGTGAATCGTGGATCTCTGTCTGATACGAGTTCACGGGGCAACCCATGAAGTCGGAAGATGGTGTCAATAAAGACACAAGCACAGCCACTTGCCGTGATTGTCTCTGGTACAGCCACAAGGTGTACCATTTTGCTGAATCTGTCAACAAATACGAGAATACCCGTATTCCCGCGTGCGTCTTTGGGTAACCCGAAGACGAAATCCATTGAGATGGATTCCCAGCACTCAGCCGGAACCGGTAGAGGCTGTAAAGGTGCACGCAGTGAAGGACTTGACTTCACTCGTTGGCAGACTTCGCATGCGCGAACATACTTTCGCACAAACTGATACTGGCGGGGCCAGTAAAAGTCTCGACTTACCGTGAGATATGTTTTCTCTCGGCCACGATGTCCTCCTATAGGAGCATCGTGATACTCGAACATGATCCGCAAACGCAGATCAGTATCATCTGGAATGACAACACGTGGTGTGTCACCAGAAACGGCTGTATAATACAGTAGACCGTTACGAGTAGTGTATCGATCTGATGCAGATCGATACGCAGACGACAATCGTTTCAACGATTCTCGAGATGGTTGGGAGAGATGTGACAACAACTTCACTATCTCACCATCTTGGGCGTATGCCCGCCTCACATCATCATACAACGTTGTAGATGGAACTGAGGACGTCATAACCGCAACAGTGACTGTCTCACTGTTGGGTTTCGCGACTGTTTCAAAGTCGGGACGACGTGAGAGTGCATCAGCGACGACATTAAGTCGTCCTGGTTTGTACTCGACCGTAAAGTTGTATTCTGCAAAGAATGACAACCACCGCGCCATTCGTTGTGAAAGGTGCGGGCTGTTCACTGCCGTGCGTAAGGACGCATGGTCAGTGTAAACAACGAAGGGTCTATCTCCTAATAGATAGACTCTGAACTTCGCGAGTGCATACTTCATGGCAAGGAGTTCCTTGTCATGCACTGGATAGTTCCGCTCAGCTGGTTGCAGCTGACGCGACTGATAGCAGACGACGCGTTCAACGCCTTCAAGGTCGTACTGCATTAATGCACAGCCGATTGCGAAATCGCTGGCATCACAGACCACATGAAATGGCCTGTCCTGATCGGCTATTGCTAGGACTGGGGATTGTATCAAGCTCTGCTTGATACCCTCAAAGGAGCGTTGACATTCAGCGTTCCATAACCACCTCTCGTTCTTTTTCAACAAACGAGAGAGGTGTACAGTCATCTCGGCGTAATTGCGTGAATACTTATGCAAATACGCCGCTAGCCCAAGGAATTTTCGAAGACCTTTGACATCGACCGGCACGGGCCAGTCGGCGATCGCCTTGATCTTTTCGGGATCAGGACGTACACCGTTCTTACCAACGATGCACCCAAGAAGTGGTATTTCGCTTGCTGCAAATATACACTTCTTGAGGTTTGCATACAATTGATGCTTTCGCATGATTGTAAGAACTTGTCGGACGTGGTACTTGTGAACCTCAACGTCCGACTTTCCATCCATAGCTCGACTATGGATGAATACGTCATCGAAATAACTCGGCGCGAATTCTCGTACTGGCCTCAACAGATGTGATACACGCCTGTTGAACGTGGCAGGGGCATTACTGAGCCCTTGTGGCATTACTAGCCATTCCCAGAGCATGCCGCTAGGCGTGCTAACTGCGGTATAGGGTATATCCCGTTCCGCATTAGGATTTGATAGAAGCCATCCATCAAATCCATGGACGAAAAGATGGTACTCTTTGACATACCATCAATGATTACGTCCTTCCTCGGTATCGGCGTCTGAGCCGGTACCGTTGCAGCGTTCAATTTGTTAAACGCGTGCACTATCCGCCACCCTCCTGTTGCTTTTCGCACACAGAAGGTCGGAGAGCTATGTGGGGAAGTTGATTCCCTCACATGGCCCGCTGCTAAACGATCGGCAAAGAACTTGTCGATCGCAAGTACTTGTTCACGAGGCAGTGGCCACTGCTTCATGACACAGTACTTCGAGCCTGGTTTAAGCTCGACTTCGTGTCGAATACCTTTATCCTTCGGTAATTCGCACGGAACAGTTTCAGGGAATACATCCTTGAATTCAACCAAATCTTCATAGAGAGGATTTTCCTTGAGCGATTCCCATGATTGGGACTCATATCGCTCAATTCGTGTCTTTTCATCTAGGACACTCTCGTCCATAGATGAACTACTGAGAACTCTCTCGTTCTCAGTAAACACTGTTGCTGACCTTATGTCGGTTACATACTCGTCGTCAGCGACGAGTATGCAGATCTGCTTGACTTTGCCACTACGCAGATCACGCAAGAACCTTTTATGTTTGAGCGTTGGCAACTGAGTGATCTCCGAAGTTAACTTCGGAGGCGCAATCCAGATCAAGTGTATAAGCGCCTACACATGATCCGTTATTGACTATGACATTCAATGTCTCTGTCATTTCCTGGGGACTTATTCCCTCAGGCTTCGAAGGACTTATTCCTTCGTCTTCCCGGGGACTTATTCCCGCGGGTTTCGGGGAACTTATTTCCGCCGTATTTGTAATCTTGGGACTTATTCCCTTTACTTCCTCTAGCTGGGGTTGCGCAACCACAGCGAGATCCTCTACGAAAGACTCTCCAGTCGATCTAGGATTATCGTTTCGCTTAACCTGAGCGATCGATTGTTTCTCTTCTAGATGTTCCCCTCTAGGGATACATCTTTGTCCCAGTCCACCCGACTTATTCGAGTGGTGGACCTTCGGCGCAGCCTGTGTTTCCTCACAGCCGCCGGAACTTTGCTCCGAAGTGTAACCGTTTGGTACACTAAGGTTTTGTGCAGTCGTACTAACGACCGTACCACAAGTGAGGCCATCGCACTCACTCGTAGTACATCCACACGCTTGTGGACGCTCCAAAACGTTCATCAGATGGCCATCTGATGAACAAGCGGCAGGCATCGTTACTGTCCGATGTTGCCAGTTTACCCGTGGTTCGTACCTTCTGAGCCACGGTATTCCAAGGATGACATCAAATTTGTCATCCAAATCCAATACGATAAAGTCATCGTCGTATTGGGTATCTTCTAGCGTATAGTGAATCTTCACTATACGCTTCATGATCGGTTACGGATGCGCCTGTCGCAAGACGTACCGTCATCCTCGTAGGAGGTGTGTCACATTCACTGAATTTAAAGTGACCATCTTCTAGCGATTGGCGTCGCACAAAATTGTTGGACGCCCCACAATCGACTAGAGCTCGAAGGGACAACTTATTCGTCACTTCGAGTTTCAAGGTAATGAGTGAGATCTCATTACCTAGAGCAGCAACGCACAATGTCTGTGTGTTGGGAGCAACCTTCATCAAAGAGGCCTACAAATTCTCTTGACGTTGCTGGATCAGTAGGGTGCTCCGCACCTACTGATCCTGTCCGTTTTTTGACGGTCCATCCCGTTGTTGCGTCTTTGCACCAACTGCGGACCCTCGTCCCTGCCCCCTTTCTCATGGGTGGACGGTCACTACGCCCAGTGTCGCGAGACACTGGACGAGGGGCACTACACTCGTAAGCGTAGTGTCCTGTCTTCTGACATCTGTTGCATCTCTGCAACTTCTTGTAGCCTGTAGAGCGAACCTTCTCGCTCTCTACATAACAGAGTTCCATCGGCTCTGGACCTCCGTTGTCATATCGTCTCGGTTGACGATATGATGTCGAGCTGGCGCGAGCCTGTCTCAGACTGAAGTCTTCCTGCTCCGCAATGGAAATGGCTTGTTCTAGTGAATCTAGTTCAAAGCCGGAACAGGTGAGTCTTGACGGGACCATCCGCAAGACCCTGCATGAACACCGAAACCAACGTGTGTTCATCCACCGGATTGGAACTTATACAACTCGTGAGATGTCGTATATGTTGAGCGTAAGCGTGCACATCACGCTTACCCTGCTTGAGCTTCAAGAGTTCGGTTCGAGCTCTGAACTCAGCTCTAGGCGGTTCAAACGTTTGTCTGAGCCGCGACTTGAAGACTTCCAACGACCCAAACGCATATGGGTCGTGCAGCTTGAGCCCCAGTGCCCAAGTCTTGGCACGTCCTGCCAGATTTGACTGGGCAAATGCAACTTGCATATCCCCGTCGTCGATGCGACGCGCCCTTATGGCGTCATCCAATTCGACGAACCATCTCAAGAGGGAGTCTTCTTCGACCCCCTATACTTTGAGATGTCAATCTTCAAAGTCTCGGGTCGACGCGAGTGCATCGACCCGCCAGCAGCAGCTTGCTGCTGTCTCAACAGTTCAAACTGTTGAGCACCTTGTTCTCTCAACAACTCTGCTTGTTGAGAACCTTGTTGGTGAAGCAAGGCTACTTTCTCGCGTTCTGCGTCAAGTTCATTTTGAATGAACTTGGCGATAGTAGCATGTTGGGCATCTCTATTGAGAGCCTCTAGCATGACGCTAACAGCATGGATGCCCATGGTCGAACCCATTCGTTCAACCGCATCCCATTCGACATCGCTCAAATGGGAGTAGCCGTCACGCGTAGCGTGAAAGCTTTGGTCATCTTCATCATCCAACATATTCATGTTGGATGTGAACGCGGTCCTTGGACGGACTACGAAGTGCTACCAGGTGTAACGGGGCACCCTGAAGCTTGTACTGGTGACAGTACAAGCTACTTATTCTGATGACAGAATAAGGCGGTGCCTCGTAACTTCACGTACACTCGTACGTGCAGAGGAAGACGGTAAGAAGAAGCGAGTACTCGGTTAGAGTAAAAAGTAGAACTGTATTTATAATAGTTAATGTCTGCAATAAATCACTATTTATCTTCATCTAACTATGTCTAAATACAAATGTGTAAATCAGTTATCTGCTCACCACTCATTGCGTGCGTCTGTCGTGGCGCGTCTTCGTTGGTTGATATAATGGCCTATATCAACCAATTAGGAACTACTTGGAAGTGCTACAGAATATTGTCCTTATGACAATATTCTGAGAATATAACTCTTATAGTTATATTCTATTAACAATTTCTTATAAATTGTTATGTAACGATTCACCCCGTTACAAACTATCCGTTCAACTTCTTACGCTGATTGACGGTGATCTGTTGCGCGAAGTAGAGCGCATTGCCAGCGATGCTTTCAGCAAAGGCCTGACATTTGAAGACTTTTACCGGGAGGTTGGACTTCTTCTGGTCCCAGCGGATTACTGTGAAGACCTGGATGAAGAACTATGGACACTCACCAAGCGCAGAGAAGAGACGGTACAACGCTGCGCGGCACGGCTAAGACAGCTTGCACAGATGTACGCCGAGTTGCCCCAGGATTCGCAAACCATCTCAGAGCTTCAACAATGTCGATATTTTCGCCGCGCCATGCCGCCGCACTGGCAGGACAAGCTCGCGTGCTGCGGAATTTCGTATGAGACGGTGAACGAACTGGCGATGTATTTCGAGCGCCTCGAAAGGCGCGAGAGGCAGACTGGCCGGGATCGCCTAAATGGTCCAGCTACCCAGGGTGGTGAAAAGGGTCAAGGTCGACGCGACCAACAACGCCCTACCGCTGACCAGCGCAGAGATCGGCGCAACCCTCGCGAGCATCGCGACACGCGTCAAGATCATCGAGACCGACCTGGTGTACAAGGCGGCAAGAAGAAGCATGACCGTCACCAAGAACACGGCAAGTGGTGTTCATTCCACAAATCAAGCTCGCACGATTCCAGCGAATGCTTTGCCCTCAAGAAGCAACGCGAAGAGCACAAGCCTGCCGAGACGAAACGAACTGCTCACAAAAAGAGTAACTACCCAAGATTCGAAGAGGAAGAGGCAAGCGACAGTGACAGCGACAGCGAGCTTAAGCTTGTCGGCCTTGTCAAGAAGAAGCAACCGAGCGCCAAGCTCGCCCCACTCCGGATCCCGGTACAATTCAAAGACGCGAGTGGCACCTTCAATGCCCTGCTAGACAGTGGTGCTTCGCGGAGCATAATCAACCAAGAAACTATGCGAGCCAATGCTCAGCTTGGGCATAGACAAGTCGAGTCGGCGACAAAGTTTCAGACGGTCAACGGAGAAGTCGCTAGTGCTGGTAGTACGATTGTACAGTTCCGCTTTCCGTCTCTCCAGCCTTCGACCATAATCACGCACAAGTTCGAAATTCTGGATCAGAGCCAGGATGCCATGGTGATCGGTCGTGATATCCTGAATGAACTAGGAATCGTGCTCAATTTTAAAGACAAACTGGTTCAGTGGGATGGTCACGATACACATTTAAACACCGGCGGGTCATCGTCTCCCAACGCAAGTGATTATGAATTCCCCGAAGAGAGCAAAGAAGTCGATAACACTGCAGTGCGACCAGAAGACCTCATGCCAGACAGGCTATCCAAGCCACTCGTCGGCAAATATCTCCAGCTTCTTCGCGATAACGAGCATCTCTATGACGGTCACTTGGGGAGGATGAGATTCGAAGACTACGCTCTACCAATAGTGCCGGAGTACAAGCCTGTACACGCAAAACCTTATCCAGTCCCAAGAAGCCTCGAAAACAAGGCTCGAGAGCTCATCCAGCATTTGGTCAGCATCGACGTGCTGGAGCAGATTTTTGATTCAGAAATGGCATCGCCTGCTTTTTTTCTCAAGAAGCCCAACGGATCACTTCGTCTACTGATAGATTTTCGCGGACTCAACCGATATCTGAAACGCAGCCCTTATTACGTCCCACATATACGCGAGATCCTGTTGCGTCTCGCAGGAGCCAAGTATCTGTCAACATTCGATGCTAATATGGGGTATTACGCGCGTCGCCTTGCTGCCTCAAGCCGTGGTCACACAGCTTTCTGTCTTCCGTTCGGGAAGTATCAATACAAACGACTCCCAATGGGCATTTCTACAGCACCGGACGAATACCAAGCCTGCATGGAGAAGATTTTTGGCGATCTGGCTTTTGTCGTAGTCTATTTGGATGATATACTCGTCTACTCCGATAGTGAAGAGACGCACCTAGAGCACCTACACATTGTGTTCAAGCGACTAACCAAGTATGGGGTAACTCTCAACGGAAAGAAGTGCCACATCCTCAGACAGTCCGTCGACTATCTCGGCTTTACGCTGACATCTCAAGGGATCCAGCCCCAACAAAAGAAGATTCAAGCCATCCAACAAATTTCCGTCCCCAAAACCAGGAAGGAACTACGCCGCTTCCTCGGAATGATTAATTACTATAGAGATATGGTACCCAACAAGACGGCATTGTGCCAACCTCTCAACCGATTCACCAGCTCCAAAGTCCCGTTCGACTGGTTGTCTAGCGACACGGAAGCATTTCACGCTATCCAGAAAGCGTTTGCCCAAGCCGTACTGCTCGCGTTTCCTGACTTTGAGCAACCATTTCACGTCTACGCCGATGCCAGCGGAAAGCAAATCGGTGGCATCATTATGCAGAAGAACCAGATTCTCGCCTGCTATTCCCGAAGTCTCAACAAGCATCAAGTGAATTACACAACGATGGAGCTTGAGCTCCTCTCTATCGTTGAAATGCTGCGCGAATACCGCACCATGCTGCTCGGGTTCCCTGTGGTTGTTCACACCGACCATAAGAACCTAATTTATCCGACCGAAACCAGCCTGCGCGTTAAGCGCTGGAAGCTCCTGTTGGCTGAGTACAGGCTATCGATGCATTACATCAAGGGAAAAAAGAATGTTGGTGCTGATGCGTTTTCCCGGATGAGATTCGATGCGATGAACACGAAGACTCATTTGCAGCTCGCGGACGAGATATGCGCTACCGCTGATGAACCAGATTGTGTCATGCATGGTCCGGTTCTTCGCGAACATCAAGATAAGGACTTGATGATTAAAAAAATCAAGACAGCTTGCCTCAACGGCAACAACAATCCTGACTATCAGCTTCTACCTCTACTCGGCTGCACGCTGGTCGCGTACCAAAAGCGCGTCATCGTGCCCGATAGCTTGCGAGAAGATCTCATTCGTTGGTATCATTTAACGCTCAGTCACCCTGGCGGTGAACGACAGTACAAGACAATGAGGCAGGTTCTCTACTGGCCCGGAATGGAAGCCGCGATCATCAAGAATGCGAAAGATTGTCTAATTTGCAAGAAGGCAAAAGGTCCACGGAGGCAAGCAGGACTATGGATTACTACCACCACGAACACTCAAGACGGTGAACCCCTTTTACACCGTTCATGTCGATCTCATTGGTCCCTACGAAGACGGACACTACGGTATTACCATGATTGACCATGCGACGCGTTGGCTGGAAGTGGGTATTCAGCACGACAAAACTTCGCTGACCACAGCCGAAAGCTTCGATCGTGAATGGCTGTGCCGCTACCCGCGTCCTGTAACGGTTATACACGACCTAGGAACGGAATTCACTGGTGATGAGTTTCAAGAATTGCTCCGCAGCTACGGGATACAAGCCAAGCCTATAACAAGCAAGAACCCTCAAGCTAACGCTATTTGTGAACGCGTTCACCTCGAGATTTTAAATGTCATCAGGTGCCACGATGGCACTGACTGGAAGAAAACCATTCACTACGCTGCATTCGCCGTGCGAGCAAGCTACCACAGCATTCTTAATGCTTCCCCAGGTCAACTACTCTTCGGTCAAGATATGATCACTCGTCAGCTTTATAACGCTGTAACGGGGCACCCTGAAGCTTGTACTGGTGACAGTACAAGCTACTTATTCTGATAACGGAATAAGGCGGTGCCTCGTAACTTCACGTACACTCGTACGTGCAGAGGAAGACGGTAAGAAGAAGCGAGTACTTGGTTAGAGTAAAAGTAGAACTGTATTTATAATAGTTAATGTCTGCAATAAATCACTATTTATCTTCATCTAACTATGTCTAAATACAAATGTGTAAATCAGTTATCTGCTCACCACTCATTGCGTGCGTCTGTCGTGGCGCGTCTTCGTTGGTTGATATAATGGCCTATATCAACCAATTAGGAACTACTTGGAAGTGCTACCGAATATTGTCCTTATGACAATATTCTGAGAATATAACTCTTATAGTTATATTCTATTAACAATTTCTTATAAATTGTTATGTAACGATTCACCCCGTTACATCACCCCCCTTAACCATCAGTCACTTTAGTGACTGATTGACTAAATGGATACTCGTCCCAAATCATTTGGGACGGGGTTTGCACTTGTTGGTCCGCGTCCACTTTCCAACATCTCATCGCATGGTAAACAAGCCCATGCGATGCGCGAGCAAGGCCGCCGAGAGCGCGTCTGCACGTCTCTGTGCGGACGCCGAAGCAGAAACTACAGCAACTGATGTCCCATCGGTTGCTGAATCGACTCAGCCTGTATCACCTGGTGATGCAGGCGCTGGTCATGAAGACACTCGTGTCTTCACAGAGTACGAGCTCGGTGTCTCGTACTCTCCTGATACGGATGACGGATCCGTATCGACGGCAATTGAATCCAAGCCGCCTGCCAAGCGTGGCATGGACGATGCTTTGCGTCGCAGCATCTTTGGTTCATCTGATGAGTCAGATGAACCATCGCCGAAGCGAAGGCGCTCGAGGTCGCGAGACTCGGGCGCTAATAGTGGTGTCGGTTCTCCTATGGACACCACTTCACAGCGAGGTGCCAGTACTTCTGTCGGCACGTCGCAGGAAGAGCGGGACCGCAATGTGTTGCGTCTCGCTCCAGAAAAGAAGGCATGGATGCCTCCTAAATCCGTCATGGATCACTTGTCGGCGACGACGAGTGATCGTTATCGAACACGATTGTTCGATTCGTCAAGGATCCATCACCTTGACCCCAGCGCGAAAGACTATCGCGCTGAACATGAGTTCTTCATCGATGCTTTCTTCAGACATCGATGGTACAGTGGGAATCACAAACGTGATGGTCCCTCACTACTTCAGGCGTGGAACGCCTACATCCATAATCTCGAGGATGTAGGTCGTGACGCTTGGAACGACAAACTTATCAAAGCTCGTGATAAGTTTGAAAAGCGAACCCCGACAGGTGCACGCTATAAGCTGCATCGTCTGTCAAGGGAGAAAGGATTACCCTGCCTCTCTTGGGGAGACTCGTGCCCATGTTGTGTGAACAACTCTGCACGAGCACCTAAGGAGGCTTACCTCCTTACCAGCCCGTGGTGGCGCGTACGTGTCTCTACTGAGATGTACGAAGGGATTGACAACCTGAAATCCCTTTACGACCGTGCCGGGAAGACTTTCTCCGGAGGTCCTTCTGCGGCACAGGATGTGTCGCGTCGTACTGCTCGACCAGACCCAGTACGTCAACCATCAATTGGGAGCGGGGCTCCCAAGAATCCCAGGACGGGGGATAGCCGCGCCACCGGACGAGGTAACTCGTCCGACGTCCGTTCACGTCGCGGTGGTTCAACAGCTGCTCTACTAGATAGCGCTGGCCACCGCGAGAGTCCTCTAATGGAGGTGGAGGAGGAGGAAAGACGCTCTCCACACGATCATGTGGATCGGTGTGTTCCCGAGAGCTTCTTTGATCGCGTAACGCAAGGGTTACGCGACGATCTCGAGCATGAGCGGAATAGGCGTCTCCAGATGGTGGACACTGCCTCGAAGCATCGAGCTGAGTTTGCCTTTGCTCAGCTTGAGAACGAGAGATCTCTGACATCTCTTCGTGACGAGCTAAGGGTAGCTCGTGGGATGGCTGATCGGTCTCGGGATGAGATAGCTGCTCTTCAGTCCCTTGTTGATGCCCACCATCGGGAGCACAAGGCTCTCTGCGAGATGCTTGAGCGCAAGGGCGTTCTTCATCGGAAGAAGCAGCGTACTGATGGTACGGCTTAAGCCGACCAACGTAAAACGTGGGATGCGTTCGCATCTTACGTGGCAACTCGATCGTGTATGCATTGCCTCGGCGGTGCAATACACGAAATGGGCCAATGTACTTGGGTAGTAGTTTACTGCTACCCAAGTTAGTCACTACATGCTTTGGTAGATTAACCGTAGACTGTAGGACTAAGTCACCTTTATTAAATAAAAGAGAGTTTGCCCTTCCATTCTTGTCAGCGTTTTGCTTTTGCTTATCCACCGCTTCGGCGATGGAGTCTTGCACAAAACGGACTACCGTTTCACGAGCCAGTATGAACTCATCTGATGACTCGTTAGCTTCAGTGTGCTGTGAGCGCACTGCAGCAACAACAACCTTTTCTTCAGTGAGGGCTTCCGCACTCTCACTGGGATCATTGTCTTCAGTGAGGGCTTCCGCACTCTCACTGGCATCATCTTCTTCGATATCGATGTTATCGATATCGGCATCAAACGCAATGACTTCTTCGTCAGAGCGTGATGAGCGTGAACCAAATCGGTTTTTGCTCGCGCGAGACCCTCCCCCCCTTAAACCAGAGTTACACTCTAGTAAGGTGGGTATACGCGGATGGCGCAAGCCATTCACGTAAAACGGTGTATGTGTCGTGGACGCATGCACCGAGTTGTTGATGGCAAACTCTACCATTGGCAAAAACTCACTCCAACTCTTAAAGGAGTGTACGTATCCTCGAAGTATCTCTTCAAGGACACGATTGGCACGTTCCGTCTGACCATCCGACTCTGGATGATCAGATGTTGACATCTTCAAGCGCGTTCCGAGTGATTTGAACACGGAACGCCAGAAATCAGCAGTGAATCGTGGATCTCTGTCTGATACGAGTTCACGGGGCAACCCATGAAGTCGGAAGATGGTGTCAATAAAGACACAAGTACAGCCACTTGCCGTGATTGTCTCTGGTACAGCCACAAGGTGTACCATTTTGCTGAATCTGTCAACAAATACGAGAATACCCGTATTCCCGCGTGCGTCTTTGGGTAACCCGAAGACGAAATCCATTGAGATGGATTCCCAGCACTCAGCCGGAACCGGTAGAGGCTGTAAAGGTGCACGCAGTGAAGGACTTGACTTCACTCGTTGGCAGACTTCGCATGCGCGAACATACTTTCGCACAAACTGATACTGGCGGGGCCAGTAAAAGTCTCGACTTACCGTGAGATATGTTTTCTCTCGGCCACGATGTCCTCCTATAGGAGCATCGTGATACTCGAACATGATCCGCAAACGCAGATCAGTATCATCTGGAATGACAACACGTGGTGTGTCACCAGAAACGGCTGTATAATACAGTAAACCGTTACGAGTAGTGTATCGATCTGATGCAGATCGATACGCAGACGACAATCGTTTCAACGATTCTCGGGATGGTTGGGAGAGATGTGACAACAACTTCACTATCTCACCATCTTGGGCGTATGCCCGCCTCACATCATCATACAACATTGTAGATGGGACTGAGGACGTCATAACCGCAACAGTGACTGTCTCACTGTTGGGTTTCGCGACTGTTTCAAAGTCGGGACGACGTGAGAGTGCATCAGCGACGACATTAAGTCGTCCTGGTTTGTACTCGACCGTAAAGTTGTATTCTGCAAAGAATGACAACCACCGCGCCATTCGTTGTGAAAGGTGCGGGCTGTTCACTGCCGTGCGTAAGGACGCATGGTCAGTGTAAACAACGAAGGGTCTATCTCCTAATAGATAGACTCTGAACTTCGCGAGTGCATACTTCATGGCAAGGAGTTCCTTGTCATGCACTGGATAGTTCCGCTCAGCTGGTTGCAGCTGACGCGACTGATAGCAGACGACGCGTTCAACGCCTTCAAGGTCGTACTGCATTAATGCACAGCCGATTGCGAAATCGCTGGCATCACAGACCACATGAAATGGCCTGTCCTGATCGGCTATTGCTAGGACTGGGGATTGTATCAAGCTCTGCTTGATACCCTCAAAGGAGCGTTGACATTCAGCGTTCCATAACCACCTCTCGTTCTTTTTCAACAAACGAGAGAGGTGTACAGTCATCTCGGCGTAATTGCGTGAATACTTATGCAAATACGCCGCTAGCTAAGGAATTTTCGAAGACCTTTGACATCGACCGGCACAGGCCAGTCGGTGATCGCCTTGATCTTTTCGGGATCAGGACGTACACCGTTCTTACCAACGATGCACCCAAGAAGTGGTATTTCGCTTGCTGCAAATATACACTTCTTGAGGTTAGCATACAATTGATGCTTTCGCATGATTGTAAGAACTTGTCGGACGTGGTACCTGTGAACCTCAACGTCCGACTTTCCATCCATAGCTCGACTATGGATGAATACGTCATCGAAATAACTCGGCGCGAACTCTCGTACTGGTCTCAACAGATGTGATACACATCTGTTGAACGTGG